AAAAAAAAAAAAACATATTAAATAAACTATTTTTATTCATAAAATCTCCATTTTTGGAGGCGTTTTCAATCGGTCCAGCTCGCCTAATTCTTAATATTTTTCCTGAAATATTTTGGTGGGCGTCTTAAAATATAATAGATTTTATAATTCCATTGGAAAAACAGTACCGATTTTTTTTGTATGGAGAGTGATGCTGTCTAATGTGCCTACATATGTACATACATAAGCACGTATTCATTTTTGCCGCCTTCAACTCTGAGGTTTCGGTCAGTGTCGTGAGAAAAATATTTGCCATTAAATTCTTTAGCTTTGCTGTTTGTATTCGAAATTTGATATTCAATTTCAAATAATAAACGGAAACAATGAAAACAAACATCAAAAAAGAGAGAGTGGTGCCTACTTAATTTAGAAATCCCTCGGGTTACTTAACTCTGGGCCAGATTTCAATGCTGCAAGACATTGTCGGGTTGAGGAATATAAACATTTAACTCTGAGGTACTGAGCTCTGTATTTATATATTAAACTCTGGATTTTCTGCAAGTGGGCCTTAGTGTGCGGTTTAGTTGGATTTCTGTGTGGTGCAAATTATTTTTTGCTGCTCTAATATTCATGTTTGTTTGTGTTATTTCCATGTTCAACATTTTCATGAGGAAGATTTGTTTAGTTTTCTCTATTTTCTGTTTTATATTTTGGGATGTGCAATTTATTGTTGTCTTTTTAACTGAGTTTGTCAAAAGCTTCTTACATTCTAACAAGAATTTTAATTGCTCCATCTACTTAGCTAACTTCTGTTTTTGGTTGCTAAAATACTTTAATCTTGTGCATGTGTGGTCTTCGTGTTTGTATTTCATATGTTTGTAGTAGTAGTTCATGTTCTTTGTTGTATATTTATCGCTGTGCACCGGATAATAAAAAAAATTTCGGCAGGCCTTCCGAGTATAATATATTTGTTTAGTTTTTCCGATCAGTTTCATTTGGTTGAAATTCTAATTATTGTTAGGCTTTTCTTATCAAGTTAGATCATCTACCCGTTGTGTAAATAAAAGGACTTTATTTAGCTTTTTTCCCGACGTTTCGCTAAGATTTTTAGCATCTTCAGGGGATTTTTTTGTTTATTTACCTGCGCAGTAATAAATATAAAACATTAATAAAACAACAAAAACCTAATAAACGAATGAATACATACCTTTGGAAGATTGCCTCTGTTTGCCCTGTCGCCAAGAATAAACGTGCGTGTTCTCCTTGTGATTTTCGTCCTATAAGTGTTTTACCTGCTTTATCAAAAGTATTTGAGTCGATTATGTTTGAACAAATCTCTCGCCATATGTCGGAAAATCATTTGCTTTCCCCTTTCCAGTCAGGCTNCATGTTCAACATTTTCATGAGGAAGATTTGTTTAGTTTTCTCTATTTTCTGTTTTATATTTTGGGATGTGCAATTTATTGTTGTCTTTTTAACTGAGTTTGTCAAAAGCTTCTTACATTCTAACAAGAATTTTAATTGCTCCATCTACTTAGCTAACTTCTGTTTTTGGTTGCTAAAATACTTTAATCTTGTGCATGTGTGGTCTTCGTGTTTGTATTTCATATGTTTGTAGTAGTAGTTCATGTTCTTTGTTGTATATTTATCGCTGTGCACCGGATAATAAAAAAAATTTCGGCAGGCCTTCCGAGTATAATATATTTGTTTAGTTTTTCCGATCAGTTTCATTTGGTTGAAATTCTAATTATTGTTAGGCTTTTCTTATCAAGTTAGATCATCTACCCGTTGTGTAAATAAAAGGACTTTATTTAGCTTTTTTCCCGACGTTTCGCTAAGATTTTTAGCATCTTCAGGGGATTTTTTTGTTTATTTACCTGCGCAGTAATAAATATAAAACATTAATAAAACAACAAAAACCTAATAAACGAATGAATACATACCTTTGGAAGATTGCCTCTGTTTGCCCTGTCGCCAAGAATAAACGTGCGTGTTCTCCTTGTGATTTTCGTCCTATAAGTGTTTTACCTGCTTTATCAAAAGTATTTGAGTCGATTATGTTTGAACAAATCTCTCGCCATATGTCGGAAAATCATTTGCTTTCCCCTTTCCAGTCAGGCTTTAGAGCTGGGCATGGATGTGCTACCGCAATGGTTAAAATTTTAGACGACTTACGAATTTCTTATGACAAAGGTGAATTGTCCCTACTGTGTTTACTAGAGTTCTCCAAAGCATTTGACTCCGTTGATCATACATTGCTCTGCTCAAAGCTCGCTTACTACTTCGGCTTTGGCAAAAATGCACTGTCCCTCATGAAAAGTTATTTATCAGGCAGAACCCAGCGTGTGAAGATTGGCTCAGTATCCTCAAAGACAAAGTCTGTGATCTGTGGCGTTCCCCAAGGGTCCATTTTGGGTCCGTTGCCATTTAGCGCCTTCGTCAATGATATTTTCTTGACTTTCCGATATGTAAATGCTCATGCATATGCAGATAATCTCGAGATATACTTATCTGGTCCATTTCAGGATGTAATTGGAATTACTGCAAACCTAAATCAGGACTTGTCTTCTGTTTCGAGATGGGCCACTCAAAACGGCCTCTGTCTTAACCCGGTTAAGTCGTATGTTCTACCTGTCTACAAGAAGAAATTCAGGTTTAGCTACATTCCACCAGTTTGTCTCGGTACGACTTCTCTTGTATTAGTCGAAAAAATAACCAACCTGGGTTTTGTTATTAACCTTACCTGTGTCGATCACATTAAATCCGTCGTGGGCAAACTATATTGTACTCAAAGAAATTTAAGGCAATCTGCACCGTTTACTCCAACTCTTATCAAACAAAAGCTTGCGCTTCAATTAATTTTGCCTATTATTACCTATTCTGAGTTGGTATACAGAAAGCTCGACTCCAGGTCTTCTTATAAAATTGATACCTTATTTAATAATGTTACGCGCTATGTTTATGGAATACGGAAATTTGATCATATATCCGCCTGGAGGTCTAGTTTACTAGGATGTGAAATTTCTGATTATTTAAAAGCCAGAAACTGTATTTTTCTTTTTAAAATGTTGAGTACAAAAGAGCCACATTATCTTTATAAAAAAACTGATTTTTCCAAAATCTGAGCGTTCTTATGATCTAATTGTGCCTGTCTTCAAACTTATGAGCACCACAAGACTGTTTTTCATCAATGCTATTAGAATTTGGAACTCTATACCTGCTACCATTAGGAGCAAAATCAACAGAAGCAACTTCAAAAATACTCTTTATAATTATTTCTCTAAAAATTGATGAACCATCTACATATTTGCAATAATATATAATTAAGTGTTTTTTTTTAGCTTTGTTAACATACCATAATGTTTGTATATATGTTATAAGTAGGGATGTGCCGGATAGAGAATTTGCCGGATAACTGGATTCCGGATATCCTGAAAAAAATAAGAGCCGGATTCGGATATCCGATCGGATATCCGGTAGACTCTTGCCCTTAATAAATTTCATAATGTTATAATAGGTTTTTTGTTTAGCTAGAATTCCTGCTTTTTCGAGTTGAACTATCCAATACGTAATTAAGAATACAAAATGTCCACTCTGAAATCCAAGTTATGATATAATCCTGCATTAAATAGATAACTCCTCCGTCTGCAACCCGGATTTATCGACTATTTTTGGTGAATAAAGGAGAAAAGTCAAAGACAAAAGATAAAGAGCAATGAACGCCGCTAAGAAAAAACGCGTGTTTAATTTATTTTTTTAAATGTGAAGAAAATCGAACTAATATGCATGGTTACATATCGTTTCGCTTCCCGAATCGCCCCGTAAGGCTTCATTGTTGCAATATTTTGTGACACACGTTTCAAAACTCATTTTATTTTCTGACATCAGTAAATCTAAAAACTGGGTAGTTAGCTTGGAGAAACCTGCCGAATCATATGAAAAACGCCGAACTCTACTGAAAGCTTCTATTGAAGAGCGAGACCAGGATATGCTTTGAGTAAATCGCCAACGGCTCTGATACTGATTCCGGTTTTTGTACTGATCCTTTGATTGGGTGGAATCATAGACGGCCGCTGTGGTGTAGCGGTTCAACCCAACATAAAAAAAAACAATAAAAAAAGTTTTTTTTTGTAATAGCGGTCGCCCCTCGACAGGTAATGGCAAACCTCCGAGTGTATTTCTGCCATGAAAACAGCTTCTCATAAAAATACAATCGCCGTTCGGAGTCGGCGTAAAATTGTAGGTCCCTCCCCATGTTTGACAACAGCAATGCGCACGCCACAAATCGGGGGAGAAGCCCGGCCAATCACTAACAAATGTGTA